TGTCACATCATTAAAAGTCAACAGTTATAAGATTCGTATAATTATAAAAACTTATTTTTAACTAATTGAAAAAAAAAGTATTCACTTAACTATTTGTTCGACTAGTAAACCAGTGAAGAAATCATTAAATTGATAGAATCTCAAATAATACCGAGTCTTAAGACCAACTCTATAATACGACTGTGGAAATATGCTAGGCCCATACAAGAAAAAGTCGAATCCATACTCCACTTGCAAAAAGGCTAAAACATTTAGTAATTAACTGCTGATGTAGTACCCTAGGCTATTCTCTACGTCATATGTTTATGGTCTAACAAACATGGAAACTACCTATTATTTATTAGGTACTGTGATTATGACCTTTATATATTGTTCTTCAAATATATTTTTCTTTCGAAATTATCATTTTGACCTGATTGATTGCATTAAATTTTATATTTATTGGTTCTTATTACATTATTAGATATTGGGCCAAGTTATATGGCATTAACAGATATTAATTTCATAATTTACATTACATTAATCCTATAAATTTGCTAACATCCTCAGATATTAAGATTATATTTATTTATAAACAAGATAATATTAATATCTTTGGATGTGCATTTCGATAACAATTATATACATAGGCTCCGACTTCATGAAGGTAGCGAGGCTCTCCATTTTAAATTATATTATTTCTGTATTTATATACTCTTTCGACTCTCTTCTCTTGCTTCACCAAAATATAAAACAGATGATTTATCATTAAATACTCATGAAAATCCACATCGCCTTCTATCTATGTTAGCATGAAAGACAGGGGACAAATGTTCACGGAATAATTTCAAAAACAATATTGAAATACATAAAAAGTAAAGAATTGCATTGAAAAAATAATAAAAACTATTCATTATCTTGGAACACATGGCTTTAAAATAGCATAAAGAAAAAGACAATGCAATAAAACTTATAGCTGAGGATAATTTTGTTAAAAGAAGGGTGGATTGTAGAAACTATAAGTAGATATAACATGATAGAACTTTTCACCATGTCTTACGAACTGAAATAGACTTGTGAAATCTATAAAATCTGCTACATTCTACCCGATAATCCAAGTTGAAACCTTGGATATATCTATAAAAGAAAACCGTTGGATATTGTCCGCTCATATTGAAAAATCTTGAGAAATCTATGTATATTATGCAAATCATATATTAAATTCTGCAGTATATATTCTAAACGCTGGCGTATGCTAATAATATAACTAAAATCAATAGAAAGAAATTATGAAATAATCATAAAATCTTCACTAGAAATTAGAAATACATTTCGCGATGTTTGCTAAATGAACAAATTAATTAATCTATTACATAAAATAAAAGCATTTTGACAAATTTTTATTTCTTAAAAATGTTAATAATGTTATTTGAGAGAGTAGAAGTTTTAAAAGGTCTTCATCATATTTTCAAAAATGGTAAATATAAATTAGAAATTTTGATCAAAATTCATAATAACCAAGGTGATTGTCTTGATAAATTTTGAAGAGAATTTAATTTTAAAGCCAAAGAAAATTAAATTTAGTGAAGCCTCTTTTAAAGATTCGAAAAAAGTTCGAATTTATTACATCACCACTACGGGTTAGTTTATAAATGTTATAGATCATACAATTATTTGGACGTCATAACCTTTAAAATCAAAGTAAGAAAGAAAATTATTTCAAACTTTTCAGAGTATGTTTGTGAAATGTGTATTAATGGTACCCTAATTATATTTCTTTTTTTTATACGATATTTTATACAAACCGTTTTTATAATTTTATTCATTTAAAACTGGTCCTAGTCAGTTTTCGAGATTGACCATTATATGAAATTAATATTATAAAAAAACCTATAGATTTTGTTATTGTTGTTGGATTGTAAAATGTTTACGATATATTGACCCTCTAAAATGAATTATGTGGATGAACATTTATACAATCTTTTTTTCTCCAATTTGATTTTTTTTGATTATAAATGTTTGTATGATTACTTAAAATAATATTCTACTTTCTGTAAATTAATTCTATGACTAAAATTTATACCGTCAGGTCCCCCCTTCTCCGACAATTTCGGACCTTGGAACTCTATCGAACATGGTTGGACTTGAATGTCCAACTACAGTATCTGTGCTAAACGATTGTTTTTAAGACCAACACTTCGTAAATCTGACGTTTCTACCCTGAAACAGTGACGGTTAAATCATATCGCAAATTTAAATGTTAATAAAGAAAATCAAAAAAACTTTTATATGCGATTATGAATATTTTTACAAATAAAAAATAATCATATTATACCTTAAAAATATTAATATTTATTTTATAACCTCTACCTGAAGACAATTGTAGATACTACTTTCGATTCTCTCAATTTTCAGAAATCTAAAATTTTTTTTTTATTTGATGTAGCATGTAAAGATTTAGGTAAAAAAAAATACAACACTATTATATTTACACATAATTTGTCATATTAATTTCTTTAATTTATATTAAATAATTATTAAATTTTTATAATTTGTATATAAAACTTTACTTGATATTCATAAAACCTTTAATGATTTCAATCCTCCCTAACTTTTTTATTATTTGAATAAGTAAAAATATTCTTAAAAATTATCTAATTTTTATAAATTATTTTTTATAAAAAGAAACGTGTTTAGGTAATATCATTTATGAGAATTATATTTATGATGATAAAAGTATAAATTGAATGTTATATGAATATATTTCTTCACAATTGTCCAAATAGAAGGATAATAGAAAGTTTTAAAATAATTTATATTAATATATTTTTTTTAAAAAATAATTAATATAATGTACAATCAAATGGCCCATCAAAAAATGACGGATAAGTCAGAAATTTCCTCTTAATTTGAAGAGAGGTATTAGAATTTGTACTTTTTTGATGCGGGATTACTTATATACTTTATAAGGTATAATTGAGGAGAATAAGAACTTGTTTATATTATGGCGTAACAGATAGTATATATTCAATGCACAAATTATCCTGGTATAATTAACCCTATTTTATAAATATTGATTTCATATAAAATAATATTATTTCATATAAAAAAATATTGTCACATTCATAATAATTTTCAACTAATAGGATTTAAATTTAATTTTTTACATTCATTTCAAAAGTTAGTATTGGTAATCCAAAATACTAATTATGTAATATTAGTATTTTAATTTATATCCGCAGTTTAGCAAAATACTCTGGAATATAATTCATTACAAACCATAAAAATGCCAATTAATATAAGAGAAATTTTCCCCTCTTAAAAAAACTTGGATATTCTCATGTATCATTTTAAGCTAATAAAGATTTTATCCTACACATTCCCACCTCCCTCTCCCTCAAAAATGTTTACATAATATTATAACTGTAAAATAAAAAAAAAATTTTTTAAATAAAAAAGACTAAGTGCAAACCCAAAATTATTATTTAAATGTAATATTGCCAAAGGTCTACAATCAGGTGGGTGCGCATAAATTTTTATAGAAATAGGGGGGGGGGGGGGTATAGGATGGGCTAATTCAATATTTTATATAGGAGTTACTTAAGAACATTTTATGTTTCAGAAATTTATTAGGACTGATGTGGTTGACAATTTTTAGTACACAAATTAACAGATATAGTCATAAGCTAGAGATACTCCTCTAACTTAAGTAGTTAATGTTATTCCATCTGGATGCTTGCTATCTAAGGTATTACGTCCTATCTAACATAGATTGAATAAGAGTAGTTGATAAGAAATGAATGAGAGTTTTTATTGCATGATGATGCTAATGCTTGCCTTTTGAGTATCTGCAATATAATAACTATTGTCCATAACTATGGACCTAGATCTTACATAAAATAAGATGTAGAGTGATTTTATTTGAATTAAAATGGAGGCCAATTGAGGTCCTTAGTTCTTCTGAGAAAATATCATGAGGCCAGTGATAAAGTGTCGCAAGGCGTATTTAAACGTCTGTAGGCTAGTTAAAGAGGACGAGCCTACACCTATGAAATGCGGATTAATTTAATTAAATTATAGGTGGGAGTTAACTGATTTTGATTTAAATTATAATATTTCAAAATTAAAGTAAGCACTAGGTTTGAGATGTTGAAGCCTCTAATATCCATACGCCAAATCGGGAAAGTACGCACTGAAGGGTAAATCGTAACTGTCAATGGTTTTCGAGTTATTTAATGTAAAATTTCAAAATAATATGGTGAAAAATTTGGATAAATATAACTCCAAGGAAAATTTTAAATCGATATTAATTCAAAAAATAAATTAGCCATATTTGTTTGTTTTAGTAATAAATAAATGTAAAGTAAATTATATATGCAATAATACATTGCCCCACATCCCGCTGCGTTCGCGCATGTCTACAATCAGTTATCCTAAAGATTTTAAATACAATTATCCCCAAACTTAGCCAAATCCTGGTCATGACTATACATTTAAAGTCAAATTTGAAAATTAATATGTTTTGTGCACTTTATTAACATAAATAAATTACAAATATATATAAGAAACTACCAGGCTCAGTGCTATCCCGGCATTACTAATTTTTTTAAATATATATATACCTAGGCCAAATCGGGTCTAAGATATTTTTTTTAAAAAAATAACATGGCCGGGCCTGCAAAACGTATTTAAAAAATACTCTGGCTGGGCCAAGTATTTTAAATCGCCATTATTATCTTTCTATTTCGCTTCGTAGAAAATATTTTGATAAAATCAAAAACCTGCTGGCCCGACCAGGGGACTTAAGCCCGGGCTATGCCCTTTGATACAATAGACCAGGAAGAAATTGAATACTTTAAATATACCCATGCACGGACTAAAAAAAATTTTTTTAAATGCACGCGTCGGGCATAATATTTGTTTAAAAAAAAGTAATCAAATATAGTTTATGTTACCTGCCTTATAATATTCATTGTCTATTATTTTTTTATTAAATATATAATACTTTAATTATTTTCAAGTTAATGGGCTTAAAGTTATAAGTAATTAACAATAAATATTAATTAATTATTTCTGAAAAAAATAATTATGAAAATCTTAATCCGTTTGTACATAATATGTCTATATTTTAAATTTAGAGAAGAGGATCCAAAAAGCTAGTAAAATAGATTATCTTCTTTATATAATTATGTAAAAACTGCTTGTCAAGCCGTAAAAATAGAGCACAAATTGTTGTTCATCTTTGTTACACAATAATAAGTCTTTAATTTAATAATCATTTATTTAATATTAGGATTGCTATTTCTCACACATTGAGGACTAAATTCCCTTTTATTTCTCAAATAAAATAGAGTAAAACCAATAATTATACTTTTATAAAAATTTTATACATTTGTAGAAATATTAATTTATTTAAAAATATTTAGTTAAATTTGGGAATAATTTTATATAAAATGTCGATGTGCGAAAATGTAACAAATAAACTTTTAATATAAATTATATTAAAAAATTTTAAAACCTTGTATTATTTTATTATACATTTCATTTTGTCTTAAAGATTTATTATCCAAATAGACTTTCTTAGAATTGTTTATAAAGACCATTAACCAGTAATGCAGGTGTGAAATTGTAAATCTTTGAACAAGGATAATGTACTATGAAAGGAAATTAAGGTTGTGGATATTATTGGAATAAAGATATGATCTCTGGAATTTTTATATATTTTGAAATTTTAAGCTATTACTCGAGAGTTTAGAGTTTGACAGGATAGGCCTAATAAATCTTTACTAGAATAAAACCAAACGTGAAATTGGCCCAAATTCTAGATTTAAAAAGTCATAAAAGGTTATCATACAATTAAGGTGGACTACAATAGCGTGGGTAAGCTCATAGTTAGTGAGTTGGAGTTGAAAATTTTTAATAGGGATAACTTCCAAAAATTAAAGCCCGGATTCACTAATTAAAGGATTAATGAAAGAACCTTTGATAGTATGCTAGATAATAGAGATTCAACGCCGCAAACTACAACTGACGTATCCTAATCTTTCGACCTGTATGATTCAGGCCATGGGAAATTAACTACACCTGTCTTAAATAACAGGATAGCACCATCTAAGGTAAAGTCCTATTTAAGTTGTGGGAATGATTGTGGATTTAGAAAAAGACAACTAGAAATTAAGCATCGAAAGCACCCCTTTTGGTAGGTAATTAAGTCGATTGATTTTCTTAGAATTTTTAGGTTAAAGATATTTTCTGTTAGATCTTTTATTACCTTTTGTTAAATGCTAAGAGGGATGGGAAATTTAAAAAATACGAGTTAAGCCCAGAGCATAAAGTATGCATTATGTTAAAAAACTTTTTAGAAGGAAGAATGATTTATTAGAGAGTAGCATGTCAAGAAAGTCTCCAAGCTTAAAGAGGACATCAAATGTAGAATAGGGGAAGAAACTGATTTTAGTGTATCTTGTTATAGAACCTAGATGTTAACTCCTCCTAAGAGTTTTTTTTTTTAATTGTCTTTTTGGTTGATTTTCATTTGAGGTTCACTAATTATTCCGTGTTCTATATACGAGACCTTGAATGAAAGTGTCATTCTGAAATAATGGTTTATATTATCTTATTAATTCCAAAACAAAATAAAAGGGTTCCTATGATATTAGTAGATCACCCTTTTATCCACTAGGCTGAAGGTATTTTTTTTTATAATTGTATTGCAAAAATTGGATATTGATAACAATAATATAGAAATTTAATAGAGCATGGGTATAATGTGCTCACTAATTGCAATAAGTTACGGGAAAAGATATTGTAAATATTATCAAATTTAATTTTAATAAGTGTTTCATTTGTGAGATTTCCCTCAAAGTGAAGACATATAATATGTTGAACCGCCTTACATCCGCCAATTACTCCATCCCCTAATTGAATTAAGGTGATAAGTCAAGCCGACTTGATAAGTGGGCTCGCACTCAGGAGGTGACTCCGGTCAGCTGAAGAGTTGGTTCGAGTATAATTTTGATTTGAATTGTATTTATTTGTTATTTAGCCCTAATTCTCATGCGGATCTGCACATATAGTTTTCAAACATTTTGATTTTAACAATTTTCTACTATCCATATAACAATTTTAAAAAATATACTTATTATTTTTATTGTTATTATAATAGATGAAAAAATTTTTGTAATAATCTCTGTTTATTATACCCGATAATAGGTCAGAAGTATCCTTGGGAAAAAATATTCAGAACAAAACGGCTTTACGCCTGGAAAAAGAAATACTTCTGGACAAGCCCTGACAAAAAAGACAACTGACAGAAATACCCAAATTTTAATAATTTTTTCAAATGTTAAGAAAAAGAGGAAAGTTTTAAAAATTTCTCTCACGTTTTATTATTCAAAAACAAATTTAATTAATGACAATGAACAGCCGTTGTGTATTTTTACAACAATTCTCATTATTGTAGTACTGGGGAAATATAAAGACATCGGTTATTTGTATTGCTAAGTAGTTTTTGGCAAGATCTGTTTCAGGCTATCTAAGTATAATAATAGATTTAACGTTATTACAGAAAAATTATGCCCATTTCTCCTCTGCTTTTGGATGAGCATAAAAATCTGCTCAAACAAGATCGTACTTTTAAATTCTTCTGATGGTCTTTGTTCCAATGTGATATAAGGTTTATAAATTTATATAAATACAATTATTAAAATTAAATTTTATTTATAAATACTCTAAAATAGATTTAGTAAAAAAATATCTGATGCATTTATAAATACAATAATTGTACAACATTTGAAAATTTGAAATGACAATTTTATAACAATAGAGCCGCAAAATTAATATCAATTTTTGTAGAAAGAACATAGCTATAGCAATAATTTAGTTAATCTAAACTAATAAAAAATTCTTTTATCGCAATTGCATATTAACAGTATGTAGTAGAATTCCATTATATAAAATGTGTCTATATGTTTCGGATCCATTTTCGAAAGTTTTTGGAAAATATTTGGACAACTTTTATAAATTTTTATTCGAATATACTGTTTTTAGAGGTTTTTTATAACATTTTAAAATTCTATCAATATCGGCTATTAACGATAACCATCTGATAAGGAATATACCTTAAAAAATTATTCGTTATCCGATATTCGATTTGATTTTATTCGATTCTATTCGTATTTTATGAATAACGAATTTATTCAATTCTAAAATTCGAATCCAATGCGAAAAAGAAAAAAAATATATTATTCATCTAATAATTTTTTTTTATCTAATATTCTATAGAATTATTGAATATTATTAAATAGTTTATTTACAAAAAAAATTCAGGAAACAGAAACATTAATAATATCTTTATTTCAATGATTAAAGACTTATCATACAAAACATGAAATGACAAAAATAGATAATTTTGACTTCATTTTTTTTTCACAACTAATATAATAATGTTTTGGAAGTAAATATTTTATGTAAGTTATATTTATAAATCCAGCTTAAAAAAAATACATATTTTCGTAACCTGGAGTTACCATATTTTTATTACCATAGGAAAAAATATATATAAAAATTTATAAATTTATTATACATCTAAAATTCGCACATTCGAATTATTAAATCAGGGATATAAAATAAATATTCGTAAAACTCACTGGCTGATACATGACAAATGCCAAAAATAAATTAAGGTAATTATTTACAATGCATAAATAATAAATACATTGATGAAATCTCCATAGTGACCACACAGACGTGTTATGAGTTTAGAAAAAAAATTTGAAATTGATTTGAATGTTATAATAAGTCTAATATGAACCTTTTAAGGTCGAACTTATGAAGGATTTAACTGAGATGAAGACCTTTTGATGTTTTAATTTCTATTTTTATAGTCACAATTTTTCTCATTTGTAATTTAATTTATATTTCACATCTTAGTAAAGAGAAAGGAAAATAGACGTAAATAAAACTATTATATATTTTATATTTTGAAACTGGGAATCAAACTAAACAAGGCCATTTGTCACTAAAAATAAATTTTATAACCCTATAATAAAAATCAACATTTCTTCATTAGGCGGTTTTATCAGGAGATTATTATCTCCATGTAACCCTAATTATATCTTTTTCTAGGGCGACTATGATTCTGGTGCATGAAAGAATTATGATATTTATAAATTATATATGTTTATTGAGGGAAATGCGAATCTATCAAATTTTTCTTTGTTTTTAGCAAATAATGATTTTAGATAAAAAAGGAAAAAAATAATATGCATAGATGATTTATATTTTATTCAAGTTGAGGGAAAAATATAATAACTAATCTACCACACGCTCTAGTTATAATGTTACATAAATTAAGAATAAATAATTTATATTTCTAAGAAAGGTAACAAAATCTCATAAGCTCAAATGGTTTTAAAATCTTAACATATATGTGGCTCATTATTTCTGAAGTATATAGAAATGCGTTTTATACCACACGGGTTATACTTTGCCATGCCTAATACCTATTGTGGTTAATTAGTTAGAATTACAATTCCACTACCCTGGTTTTTGGTTTAAAATAAATGAACCAGAACCAACCCAACCAAATGGGTAGACCTAGTGGACCAAATCCATAGAACCGAGCACCGATCTGAGCACCACCCGAGTCGACCCGAGCACCAACTCAAAACCAAGTTATTATATTATTTTATTGTGAATATTTTACTCAATTATATTTTTATGCATAGAGGACGAATATTTCAATATTAGCATAGAAATAACCAGATTCCTTTTTTAAAAAAATCTTATAATCTTAAAATTAAAATTTAGGAGATGAGTAATTCAATTCCATATTAATTAAATAAAATTGATATCGAATTTGAAATGATTATCTTCTAAGGGAGAAATATTTATTATAAGAATTTATCGATTTTTAGATATGTGATTCATATATTATCAAAAAAATGAGGGTATTATATGTTTATTTAATTAATAACTTCTGGGATCTGCACTAAAGTTGTAAAAATTGGTCATTAGTCATCTCAGGAGTTGGCTCGAGTTGCCCCAAGTTGGCTCGATTTTTATTATGAGCCGAAATGTATTTATTTGTTGTTTAACTCCAATTCGCTAAAGGATATTACAACCACGTGTATATCTTTTATAATTTAGATTTAATTTTAAGGGAGAATTTCGTTTAATACCAATATTTAAAAGCTATCCCCTATAATTTTTAAACTTATCCATTCTCTCACTGGTGAATTGTAGGCAACCCTTTAAACTTAGTTATTAAATGAAGTGTTAACCTTATGATATGAATTAACAAATATTTAAGAATTTCTATCGATCTTACTAGGCTATGATATCCTACCTCCAAACTTCCGTTTTTGGGTTATCATTCTCTCCATTACCCCACTTTCTAGAGTGTAATATCTAGGGCATAATGTTAATTTAATAAAATCTAGAATCTCAGCATTTCTCGAATTATCATGTTTTCAGCTTTGATAAATAACCCTTCAAGAATAACTAACCCCATTCCTCTTTACTACTTTTCCATTAAAATTTATTATCAACGATTAATGTGAAGTTCCTAATTTTAATTTGTTTAGCAGAATCTAAAGCCCTGCAGTTACCCTTCTCCAATATATTATGACCTAACTAAACCCTGTTAAACCTAACTAAACCCTGTTAAAATTTTGTAAATTTTATCAAATAATTAATGTTCATTTTATGAACACAGGTCATAAATATTGATGATAAGGATGTGTTAAACATGGATTATTATTTTATTATAATGGTTATTATATAGCGCAAATTTTTATATGTTGCATATTATTAATTTACATAATTTATATTAACTTAATAGTTTCATTTAATTATTTAATAGTTTTATTTTATATATAAATGATAAATTTTTTATAATTGTTGAGTTAGATTATAGTTGAAATATTTTATGAAATATATTTATTTAATAAAAGTTTTAAATCTTTTTGTTTTATCTTCCTTACTCCCTGCCAACCTTAACAGGATACATATAATATTTTACCTCCAAATTTATTTCGAAAGTCTAAAGAACTTAAAATTTCTTTATTTTAATTCACTTAATCAATTTTTTATTTATGATTCCTGAAAATGAAAATAGAAAAAAAGCAAGCTAGACCTGGTAAGAACAATATTATCTATTGAAAAATTAAAATAACATTTATAATTAAGTATAAGTATTTATTAAGGAAAATGTAAAAATATTTAATGGTTTAAGCAAATCTATCAAATAAGAAGGATGATATTACATTAGAAAAAATTTTATTGAAGATTTATATGTTTCCATAAGAATTTTTCTATATAAATCTAGCCTAAACTAAATTTTTGTATGGCTATCTAGTGTTTTGTATATTCTAATAAGAGGCCTTTCTTAATGCTTACCATTAATTATTCTGAATTTCAAATTATTAAATCATCATTTTGAAAAATTTAATTTTTATAGCTAAGGGTAGAAAAAGAGTTAACCCTAAATAAAGTATAATAGAAAATATATTATTTATTTTATAATCAGTGAATGATAAAATATTTTTGGAATGTTGTTTTTGTATTATAATACTACATATTTGTACATGAATTTAAACTACTAAGCTAATTAATTGATAACATTATTAAAAAAATTACATTTGGCTAAATCAATTAGAAACGAAAAAAATATTTTTTTATAAAGAAAATTTATGAATGCAATAAATTAGAGAAATTTTTAAATGATAAATAAATTTCTATGAATTGTATCAAATATAACAACACACATTGATTACAGGTACCAGCAATTGAGTGATTCTTAAGAATAGCAAAGGTTGGGTTAAATACTAAACATTTCTGGTTATATGATTAAAATTTTGAAATAATTTAAAATAGAAAATGTATTTGTAAATATAATTATTACAACTTTTATATAGTAAATCTTATATCAATAACTATATTTTTCAATCACGTTTATTTTTTAAACATAATATCTAGAGAAATTTTTTTAACTGTCATTCAATTTTATTATAAAAGTAAACAGCATTATTTATTTTTGAAAATATAACATAAAAAATATGAGGAAATTTGGTTTATTTTCGGACTGCAATGAAAAAATAGCTATACCGTTTCCAAGTAACGTTTACAACACTAAAATAGCTTAATAAGTTTTATATAGAAATCTACTTTAAATATCGGAACTATTTTTACCCTCTACCCCTTTCTTTCACAACTTACGCATATGTGTTTAAAAATCAATCTCCTCATAAGTTCAGGTTAATCGAGATTGGCCCTGAATTGCTGGATCATCATAACCCTAAATTAAAGGTAGAGCTTTTGTTCTCCAACGAGGGGTGGGGATTCGTTCAAAGAATAGCCTATGCCAAAAGAATATATTAAGTTTGTTTTAATCAGAGAGTAATATTAGTATAACCCATTTTTTGTATTGCATGTTAACTGCAAAAAAATGCCTAAATTATATTTCCCGCATTTTCAAGATGAAAATGGAGATCGTAGTTATCACATACTTTAGGATGTGAAAAATTGCAAAATTCTATATCGGGTTGGACTGATATTCAATAGGTCGGCTCAGAGTTTGAAATTTTTTATTATTAAAAAAATATAATCCAAATATATGATGATTTCTCTTATAAAAATTATTACCACAAATATAAAATTGCAATATTTAATTAAAATATCATTGAGTAATTTTTGTTTTTTTGAAAATGATATAGATACTTTGTAATAATAGTGGATCTTGTATATTTATGAAAAGACTAAAAACTTTGCTACTATTGAAGGATTATCATAATACAAACTTCAGATTCATGTATCGGAATATTTTCTGCTCTGCTTAATATAATGTAAAAAAAATGCATTAGCTTAGACGGTTTATTTTGTAAATTTTTTACAAATCTCAATATAAAAACAAATAAACAAAGGAAAGATTAAAATTATTTTAAAACATCTTAGATATAAATTACAAATTTCGTAATTAATGTAGGGGTTAACTAATATCTGATGTTGAACTAGTAGATAAAGACATTTTTAAAGTAGATGCAGGATACTCGCTTGTCGTTATTATTTGGAGTCAATAAATACGTGTAATAAAGACTGAGTAAGCCAGGATTAGCTTTAAAAGTCATCTTATACTTATCTCCTCATTATATAATATAATTATTCTATTTATTATTAAAAACAGAATTTAGAAAAAGAAGAATCCATATGAAACAATAAAATTATATATTAATTGTTATTTTCAAATCTTAACTGTCATAATTATGATGTAATTAATCATTAGATTTACTTAACAATTTTTAGATTATAGGGCATTTGGTATATTTGCTAAAATTGTGATTAATTAATATTTACATTCTATCGAATTTATGATAATAAATCTTCGGGAACATCATTATAACATTTTTAATCAAGATTATAAGGATATTATGGTACTAGAATTGTGATTTATAAATATACATTATTCTTTCCAATTTATAATAAAACTTTGGGTTCAGCATCACAAACGAATATTTAGTATGTTAAGTACTTTTTAAAAGTTTTTTTTAATAAAGATAAGTCAATAGTATTTTTAGATCCGATATATGTAAATATTTTTACCTAAAGTATTATATAAAATAAGAGTAATAGAATTTATTCAGGTTAGTGGTATCGTTTATAGTAAAAAATTAAAAATACAGTAATAATTATAAGAGTTTTGGATATGAATTTTAAATATTTATAAGTATAAAATGGTTAGTGGTAGAAAATACAGGTTAATATTTATATATAAATGGTTGATAAATTTATGGCGGCAGTAATCCAAACAAGAAAATCAAAAATCCGACTTGTTTAAAACCTTAGGTACTTATTATCCTTAATCTCTGAGTAATATAATGAAGCAGTAACACACGAGAGCTTTTAAAATTGTTATTCAAAAAAACTTATGTGACCAGGTTTTCAGTAGACCTTTATAATGCTAAATAATGTTTTACATAATGAAAATGTATTTTTACTAAATAGGTAACTGATAAAAAAAAATTTGAAGGCAACCAACCCAGCATCAATAATATTTATCGCCAAAATTTTTATCGAAACTTTTATATCGAATGTTATTTATAGAGAAGAAATTGAGAAAAGGTAATATTTCTAAACCAATTTCGAGAATTGTTTCCCCGAAACATTCACTGAGAAAATATCGCTAATCTTTTACCGCTAATTTATTTATGCGAAACTGAACAGAGAACACTTTAGAGTAAATACATTTCAGCGAAACCTTTATTAGCAAAACTTTAATTGCGAACGCATTATAGTGAGTTTATTTTTATCGCGAATGCTTATGCGCGAAATTGCGAAAGAATTACTGCGAATCAATGAATATATTGCGATGCATTAATCAAAAGACATATTTAATTATAATTTACCCACATTGATTCTTAAATCATAAGCGCCAATTGTCTATTTAAGTAAGTAAGAGTTGGCTTAAATGTGTTTTTTATCTAACATAGATTGAAATTTTTTTTTTATAATATATGCTTAAAATTTTTTTCCATTACATGGAATCAAATATAACGCTAAATTTTCACTGATTTCTTTAAAAAAAAATCCTATACCATTGCTAAATAAAAATTTCAATTTTCTCAAAAAAATTTTTTTATTATTGTTTGTTCTGGCAAAATATTTTTAATGAGTTTCTTTATGTATAAATGAAATAAAGACAATCTTATTTTTTTTAAATATCTCATTTCTATAGTAAATTGTTATTCCTTTTTTCTGAATCCCGGCAGCTTAAACGTATTGTTTGCAAATTATAATTTTAATGGAACCGATATGATAAGGCCTTTATTTCTGAGAGTAAGCTAAATTACAAGAAGAAAAAAAATTATCCATTTAAATTTTTAATTTTTTTTATATTTGAAGAGCAGTTTCTAATAGTCAAACGATATCTCGGCTAATTCCCATCAAAGTTTTTTTTACATATTTGTGAATTTTTCTAAATATATCTCGAAGATTGTATGCCATAGATGATCCACAAAAAGAAAAAAATAATGGAAATCTAACATATAATCTCCAAAATCTATGAGTGATCGTTTTCCTATCTTATCAATTTAAATGTATCAATTTACTTTCTTATCTTCTTAATATTATAAAATTGAGGGCGACTTAGATTTTTGTAACCTCGGTCAATCCGGCCCGACCAAATAGAAGTCCGGAATCCGTTTTAAATTTAAATTTGACTTCGGAAATGAAAAGTTTTTTTTTGGCAGCAGAGAGATTTAAACCCTTACTTTCTACTTCCGGAGACCAAGTTTCTCCCTATGAACCATCACGCATAATAAAATAACAACAATATATTTATTATATAGGAAACAAATACAATGCCTATTTATTGGTTTACTTTCCTTCCAATATTATTCGGGTTTTTTTTTACCCATTCAATATATCTGCTTACGTTACATGATACCATTTTTTATAATTGGGTTAATTTTCTTTCAATGTTATTGTAACTTTTTTCTAAACAATGATTTGTTTGCTTAATCACATCTCTTTCATTATTTGATATTTTTATGGTTATTATACATTTTGTGAGTATTTTATTTGTTTTTGGTAATTATTTTATGTGCATTTATATTAACATTAATAAATTTTTTGTTATTTATTTTTTTTTGCACATAATTTATTTGTAATTTTAAATTGATATTTTGGCAGAAGCCAGCAATCGGTTGATGTTTAGACAAGAGTAATATTTATTTTAGGCTTAGATTTTTTCGCCTAAATGTCAACGAATGAATTATGTATCACTCTTTAAATGCGAGATGAAGTTCGCAAGAAGAATGGAAAAGAAAATTTCTCTCGTTATGCAAGTTTAACTCGAGAAATAAAATGCTTTTTTTGTTATCACATATTATCTTAAAAATATTATTAATTTTACCCAAATAAAAATTTACGAAAACTAAAACAACTCCTCTAGAAGAATAACTTAAAACAAAATATACCCTTTCCTCTTTATTAAAATATCTATTAATTTAAAAAAATATTTTTTGGATTTTATAAACTTTACTTTTGTTACTAAAAGCTATTTATTATTAAAAAATTTAATAAATAAATTAAGCTTTTCCTTATTTTACAACGCAATTATTTTGTAAAATATACCAAAATAAAACTTTGTATTAAATTCGAGAATAAATCGTAAACTATAATACTTTGCCTCTGACCTGTAACTATCTTAGTTAAGATGATAAGTTTTTTGAATGTCTAAGGTAAAATTATATAAAAAATAAATAGCTATGCTTAATTAAATATATAAAAAATTTTTCAATATGTTTATAAAATTGTATATTCAAAAAGTTTACAAATGCCTCGCAGTGCTCTTTTGTGAAAATTTGGAAGGGGAATTACTGTTACCTCCTTATATTCAGAGACATTAGCTTGCCCCTGAGAGCCTTTTCTACCACCCCCTGGGTTTTTAAATTATTTATCTATAGAAAAATTTGTGTGAACTTACTCCCCTTATAAGATATATCGAGAAAATGACTTAACCCCCCCCCCCTCCCATTAACACTGGAATTTTAAAAGTAAAAAAATAAAACGTAACAAAAAATATTACTTAGAATAAGGCTTAATCATGAAATCAGGGAAATAATTTCTTGGGTTTTAAATTTATCGATTTATATATCTTATGCTTATTATATATTTGAGAGTAGACAAAGTAAATAGAATAAATATAGTAAAAATTTAGATAAACTTCTTATCAGCGATCCAGATGCCATATGTTATAAAATGTTCAAATTTTTTTGTTAAATCAGCATGATCATAACCTTTGCTTCTAGTTATTATATACATAAAAAAAATGGATTCTATTCTTCAACAATTGATTAATATTGGATTTTCAAAAGAAATAAGGTTATAATATAAATAAAATATTCAAATATATTTTAAACATGTTAAATAACTAATAAAATTGGAATTTTTATTTATAATTTTACAATAGCTTGAAGAGCATTGCCATAAATGGAAAGAATGACCTATCTAAGTTGATTAATTGGTAATCTACATAATAAAAATTTTATGTTCTTCTTGTAATAAATAGGATTGTGTCTCATAATCAAGACCCCTTATTAAAGAAAGATGAAGATCTAAATTATATAGTTTTGTTATCATTTTCTCCTAACTGTTGTACAAGTAATTACCTGGTTAAACAAATTTATGACTATCTAGTCAATCATTTGAATGTTTATCCATCAACATGTGATTATTATTTTTCAATTCCTTTGACTCCAATGTTTACGGTTTAATATATATTATTCAATTTCATTATATATTTTGATTTTCATAATTATACTATATTTTCTTTATCTTAAAATTTTTTTTTGGAGGGGGGGATAATTTATATATATGTTTTTACATTTATTTTATGGCCATTACTTGTATACAAATCTAAGGGTTTGTACTGGTTCAACTCTTTACTAAATAGTCTAAAATAATAGCAAAAAATAAATAAAATGCCACTAAATACTTAAAATAAACCAAATTAAGGGGTGTCCTAGTTCAAAAGCTGTTTAGCCTGGCCTACAAAAAAAAATAAGTTGAACCAGATCACTCCTTCATACTATTGTTAAATTTTTGAATATATATATATATATTCAACTCAGTTTATATATGATAAGTTTAAAATTTCTTTTGGGAGTGGGAAGGGTTGAGGATTGAATCTCTACCAAGTTTTTTCTCTCATAAAGACACTGTAAGATTATTGTATAGGAACCACTAATAGCTATATTCTTGAAATATGTATTTTTAAAAAACGTATTTTTTTAAATTTTTTACAGTATTATTTTCATAAATCTACAGATTGGATTTTAACATGAACACCTTTGTTTAAGGTGTTTAATCCAATTTTTTAAAGCAAATGTTTGTGCAATTATCTGCTTATCCAACATGAATAGTGATATTACTGGGGAATAAGAATAATAAAGAAAATAGAAAATAATATAGCAAGGAAATTAATTTTTTTAAAATTATATTAGATAGATTTATTTTAATCAATTTAATTTATATTTAAACATATATAAATTAATATAAAAAATGTAAAATATATATTTTTTAAATTGATTAGGGTGCATGGAAGGGTTATATAAATGTGCAATGCATACACTTAATCAAACATCATGTTTGCCTAATGTAGGTTCTCTATATACCATTACACATACTATAAACACATTTGCGACAACAGCAGGTAAAATGGATGGAGTTTTTAAGTAACTCCTTTCCCACATACACCATATTACCACATGTCTGTCTCTGCGATCCAATCTAAATCTTCTCCTCCAGACATTACCTTTATCTTTTTTCTATATTAATTTTAAATTCCTTCTCTTCCATAACCCTCCTCCATCTTCAAATCAATCTTACCTTGCATTATCAATACTAAGTTTCATTTACTTATAAAATATCCTACATATATATATACAGGAAACACAAAATGGAGTGTCATCAGAAGATTCGTTTAAAATATATTTTAATGAATGAATCAACGGTTTAACCCTATATTCCACAGTCAGCGGGAATTAGAGGCGAATTATACAAAATATTCTGTATTTTTATATTTCTCCACTGCAAATTCGCGCCAACTGGGAACGAGGGTTTAAGTAAGTAGTTTCTTTGGTTTTCTATTCGCTATCTAAGTTTTTTACATTTATCCTATTTAATGCTATGTATTTTTTTCTCACTATTTTTATATCTCGTGAACGAAACTGACCAATCCTAAGTCGTTTTTTTATATATCTTTTAGGTATCGACTAAGAACATAAACATTTTACTGGAAGTTTTTGATCAATCATCCACCGTGATCCAAAGATTGAAAAGGACTCACCTATCCTTGACCCCTTACATGAACGAATACATGATCGGTTGCGCTCTCAGCAAAGACTTTCAGGAGATTATTCAAGAATTCTCGCTCAAACTGATCGATTTATTAAAGAGCAAAAGTGATTTCTCTTCTTAATATTGAAATTAAATAATTTCGAGACTAACTTGTTTGAATTGAGGCTGTCTTCTTATTTTTAATTAATATCCGACGATTCAAAATTTTAAATAAGTTCTCAATAAAAAAAATAGGATTTGTCTTTTGCAAATTGCAATTATCGTCTGCCTTCTTATTTTCTTTTAATTTTCTAAAATATATCCCTTTTTTTTCAGGAGAATAAGTAAGTTTATTTATTACAAAGCGTAGCGAACCTATTTGCGTTTTTTATGATGGTTGCTAACGCCCGAACGGTAATTTTTATACCAATGTGCGCGAGGCCATTTGAAATGCATTATTAGCGCTTGCAACGCATGCGCACTTCAATGTTATTTCGGCTATAATTTTAGTCGGGCCGTTTTTTAAAAAAATCGACCTTAATCGAACAACACTGGTTCCCCTCGCTAGTTAAATAATTATTTATAGAATTTTTAAATTTAATTTATCTTATAAAATATGACTAAATAGATATACTCAAAACCATAACTCCCGTTCCGCTTTACTCCTTATTGTGGGACAGATCGTGCTCCCCGATAAGTCAAGACAAACTCGTCTTCCCAATCCTAGCTTCGGTTGATCCGGATTTACTATCCGATCCCGAAAAGCGGGTAGACTCTTCCAATATGGCCGCTAGTCCGAATACTCCTCCACCACCACATTTTACGCCGCTCCAACAACTGCTGGAGAATAAAATGGACAACACGAAATTCCAGGAATTGTCCAATAAGCTTAAGGGTTTGCTCAACACCTACTGTTATCCCCAAGGGCTCTTCCCTGTCGATAAAAATGGCGATAATGAGTTAGATTGCTTATCACCTGACGCCTTCAGTATAAATCTACTTTCCATCGACGACACACTCAATCAGTGCCAAGTTAAGATTCAAACTTTATATGTTTTTTTTTATATTTCTTAGATTCCTTTTGTAAGAAATAAAATCATGTGATATTTTATTCAACACAAAATAAAATGATTGGGTTTTTCTTTAAAAATTTTATTTTATACGCTATACATTTATCCAGATATTTAGATCACTGGTCACCCCGGCTAAGGAACACGAAAACTCGGCCTCGTTCAAGCCGGTTAACGATATTTCTCGAATAGATATTCGCTCCCTGACTGGTAGCCCTAAATGCAGTTCGGTCTACGCGGTTCACAACGTCAATCTTTTTGATGTGAGTTTAAATTTTTACCCCCCCCCCCTTCGCCACCCCAATTCACACAAGTTTATCGTCTGCTTGCCAATAATTTGTTCTTTGTTTATCGGGGAACAATTATGGGACAAAAACGAGAGAAAAAGGAAGATAGATATATTTAAAAAAAAAAAATTCATATACTGATAATTAAATTTGTTACAAAATCCTGATAGGAATATTTAATAATCAGCTGATCTAAATCCGTGACTGGTTTATAAAAAAAATCAATATTCCCAGTTCCCACCCCTGATTTTATTATTAGGGTCTGTAATTAGTTTATCTTTTTTTGCCACGTCGCCTAAGGGTTAAAGCGAACCCTTAATGGGTCGCCTTATTTATTTACTGAGCCATACTTGTGTTCTTATTATTTTCATTTAAACGTAACTAGGACGACGACGAACTTTTATGCGTACCTGCTACCATTCCTCGAAGCGAGTCGGATTCTCTGCTCGTTAAAATCGGCGGGATCGTCAAAGTTTTGTCTAGCGGCGAAGTTAGCCAGGAATTGCGCGTGGATGATGCCATTTTGGCGGGAACTCGCTCCTCCGGAGAACGGAAATCGAGGGCGTTGATCTCCAGCAAATCCCAATCCGTCAAAGCCATATCCCACAAAACGGGACTTTACAGAACTGTTCATACGGAATGGCTGCGTAAAGTGCCCAAGATATGTGCTTGGAATGTTATAGAGTAAGTGGATAAAAAAATTTTTTAAAAAAAGAATTGCTCCTATCTGAATGAAGTTGATTCTCGAATATAGATCTTATAGAAAATATATATAATAATACGTATAAAATATTTGCTAAAAATATTTATTTCGCGAGTTATATTTATATTATTTAATTTTAAATAAGTACAATCTACCTTTGTCTTCCTCCGGAAAACGTGGCTACATCTAACGGGGTCGAAAACTATTCTCAAGTAGACGGGGCTCCTTCTAGGAGAAATAGGATCTTGTCGAAGATAGACTTCTACAGGATGTTTACCAAATACCAGGATTTCTCTAGGTCTATTCCCGAAGAACTATCGGAATGGTGGAACGTGGCTAAGGTATGTATGATAATTATAATTATTCTGTTCCGAAGTTTTTAGGATATTATTATTCTTGATTTAAAATTTAAAAATTAATTTCTTTATATCAAATATTTTATTCGTAAAATTCTAATTTATTAAAAATATTTATTTAAAAAAAACAAAGAATGTAGAATATAAATATCATATTCTTATAGATAAATTATCATTTTTCTTAATTAGAAAATAATAATATTTTAGTATATAATATTTTCAACCAATCACGTTGCGGCATCAATGTGATTGACAACTTTTATATAAATATATACAATTCTGGCACGGTGATGTATTAAGTGGCTAACTAATTTTCCGCATTTGAATTTGTGTAACAGAAGCTGCTAAAGAACCACCAGTTCGTTTTTGCTAACGAAAATCTTATAGTGGAAAAAAAATAAAAAAATACTGCCATTTTTAAATATGGGGGAAACTAAAATGGCGCATATCTGTTGTCTCACTTGCGATAACTTCTAATAAAAAAAACGTATTTATAATTTTAATTGACAAATTCAAATTTAATTATCTAAACATGATACCAAAAGAATATAAATAAATGTTGGGGTAAAAAAAAATTAAAATTTTTATATTTATTTTTTTTAGATAAATTGGAAAAAAATAACTATTAGTTTTATGTTCCTAGTCGGAGTTTAAAAAAAATGCTCTTCCAAAAATGCAAATCTCTTTAAGAGATTTTGGAAAAGAAGATTTTATGAGAACGCTTCAAAAAAAAGGATTTTTGATCGAATTTTATCCTAAAAATTCCAAATTTTATTTTGCAAAAAAACCTTTTTGATCTTCTTGAAAGGAAAAAAAATCTTCGCAATTTTATGATCTGAAGATTAATTATTATTAATTTTTTTTTAAAATCAAATTTTGGTTTTAGTTGAGCCGAGTCGGGAAAATCTTTATTGTCGCGCTAATCGGGTAGTAAAAATTGGTCAACAGCTGGTCTGTCACGTTGACAATAAATATAAATGTTTACTTCTAAATAGTGCTGTAAACATTTCTAAAATAATCAAACGCGTTCAACGTTCATTGGACAAAAAAAGAGAAGCTTTTACGTGGATGAACGCGTTTAACGTTCGTTTAAAATTTTATGAAAATTTTTTTAAAATATAAATTTAATTTAATATAAATAAATATTAGCCATGTTAAATAAATAATATAGTTTTATTTGATTATGGTGAATAAAAAGATATTTATATTGATAAAAAATTTATTAATTTTTAATAACAATTGTTTTTCAAATTTTTTTAATTGATAGACAAGGAACGCTTGGCAGTTAATACGGCATTGGCTATACTAAAAACGCGCTCTACAAGGGCAGATGAGGATATTGTGGTATTAATAAACAACTATTCTCACGCGAGCAATTTATTAAAAACATTTATTGTTTTGTCCTTTAATAACGCTATAAGTTAATTTTTTTATGGTTCATTCTGTGGAAGTTTTATCCATGGCCATTGAAACTTGAATACTGTATGTATAATTGCAGAAAGAACATATTGATCTTCATATATATGTTCAAATCTTTGGAAAAAATAAAATATATGTAATTAATTTGATAGTGATACCTTTAATACCTTTTATTTATCCCATTCAATACTGCGCCTATCAATGATTGACCATATTTTAAGCCTCTAATTTTTTTGTTAAACTTTAAAATAACTATCGTTATTGTTGGGGGCAAATAGCACCAAATGCATTTTTTTCTTCACTTTCTTAAAAATAATGAGCGCAGTTGCACTAGGTTTAATGATCTATTTTAATTTCTAAAATATTTTTTTAGGACTTACTGTACAGAATGCTTCCAAAAAATTTTATCATTGCTTGAAAACCTGGCTAATCCATTCCATGTCACACATTTTGTCAAACAAATTAGAATTTTCTTTTACTAAATGTATTTAATAGATTATTTGAGAAAAATATCTGAAGATGAGGAAGATGAATTTGTACCATTATCATTAAATGTGGTATTTGAAAATCAAAATAAGAAGATGAAAACTTTATATCCATATATGCTGAAAATGCATTAGAAAAATTTATCTATATAATAAACATCTTAAAAAGTGCATTTAATAAGTGGAAAAATTTTTGGGATAAACAAGATTAATCCACATCATTTTCTGCTTATTTTAGAGAAATTTCTCACGGTTGCTTATAAAGAAGGTTGCTACAAGATGAAATTCTTATTATATTTCCTTAAAATAGATAGATTCGTTAGTAAAGGAAAATTCTATTTTGTTTGACGAAGTGTGTGACATGGAATGGATTATTCAGGCTTTCGCAACGATAAAACATTTTTTGGAATAATACTCTTCCTAATAAAATTTTATAGAATCAGAATAAATTGTTTTAAATTTTTAAAATAGATCATTGAAACCTATTGCAAATGCTCTCATTATTTTTTTTAGAAAGTGAAGAAAAATGCATTTGGGCCTATTTGACCCCAACAATATCGATAGTTATTTTAAAAATAAAAACAAATTTGTGGCCTAAAATATGGTCAACTATTGAGAGACGCAGTATTAAATATGATTATCACTATCAAATTATTTACATATATTTAAAAAAAAAAAAGATTTGAACATATATATGAAGATCAATATGTTCTTCCTGCAATTACATCTGGTATTCAAGCTTAAATGGCCAGGGAGAAAACTTCCACAGAACGAACCTATTTAAAAAAAATAAACTTATAGTGTTATTGAAAAGGAATGCATTTGGAAACCTTAGAAATGATAATGCAAGAACTATTAATTTCGAAATATCCCATTTTTTGACGAGAAAGTTGAGTGAGGATGGATTGGAGGAGGATAACCTATCTCAATTTTTTTTGAAGCTTAAGGACAAAACAAAATGTTTTTAAATAAATTCCCCTTGTAAAAGGAGTTGCTTATTACGTACAATACAGCAATAACCTTATCTGCCCCTGTAGAGCGCGTTTTTAATATATCCAATGCCGTATTAACTGGCCAGGCGTTCCTGTCCTATCACATAAAAAATTTTGAAAAACATTTGTTATTAAAAATTAATTGTTATATTATATTGTATTTATAATTTATATTATAAAAAATAAAACTATATTATTTTTTAACATGGCTAATATGTCGTGATAAAAAAAAAATATAAGTCATTTATTATATTAAAATTAATTTTAAAAAAAAATTTATCATAAAATTTTGAACGAACGTTAACGCGTTCATCATCGTGAACGCAACGCGTTTTTTTTTAATAACAGCACTAAATTTTTCGAGTAAATAAAAAAATAAATTGTGTTTTTAAAATTGAACGAACGTTAAATTCGAACGCGTTCGTCAAAAAAAATGAAGAAACGCGTTCACGTTCAAAGTTCGTCAAAAATAAGAGGCAGGCAACGCTGTTCGTCATTTTTTTTTACGAACTTCGTTCACGAAAGCGTTTGTCTACAACATTACTTTCCAGATATAAACCTGCAGATTTCGATACATAATTAAACTCTCAAAATTACTAAAAATAATGTGAATGTTTTTAAAATTTTTTTTCCATTTTATAAAAAGGAAAGGGGATTTAATTACCGATAATTTTTAGTTCAGACATTATCGTTGAAAGAAAAGGATAAATTATAACTTGTTCACTTTGAAGTCGCGACTAAATTTATTTTTCAAAAATTGATGTTTATAATAAAAAAAATTATGTGACATTATATATGAGATAGGGGAATAAAAATACTCCACATATGACTATAATGTACAACTAGTAACAACATATTACAACACGCCCCCCACTAAAATTGGTTTTAAAGTAATTTACGCCCTCATTTATATGGATTTTGAATAACGAATTATCGGATACGATTAAAGTGAATTATTAATAACTTTAAAAAAAAACAATTTAAAGGCTAACCTAACATTATAAATTTTAAGTAGATAAATTTTAAAATTATATTATTTTTATGAAAATGGGGAAAAAATAACCAAATATAAACAACTACAAAAATAAAAATGCTTTTAAAGAAAAATATATAATCTTCCGCAAGATGGCGTTATATATTTAAAAAATATATCTAGACTATTTTTATTCATATGGAAACCGGTAGTGATTTATTGAACGATGATAGAACCACATTCCCCCCTTAAACCCTCCTAAAAAATTACGATACACGAATTATAATTTTTGCCACTTATAATGGAATGGGCTTGCTTTGCTATAAGCCGGAAAGTTCGAAATATTCTAAAAAAAACATAAAATAGTTAAGGTTATAACTGTTGTCAACGTTAATAAGCTAATCACATTATTCCTTTTTAAAATCAAAATAATATATATAAGTAGTGTTGTTAATCGGCACAGTTTTGAGCCGATTTTTAAAAACGGCTAAATCAGTATTTTTATCCTTAAAAATATTAGGCATAGCTTGAAGATTTTTCTCATAGATACAAAAGCCTTGACATCTCATAGCCACATTAGGAGGCTTGATCAATTTTTTTTTCTGGCTTAAATATAGAGTAAGCCGTTTTTAAAAATCAGCTGAAATTGAGCCGTTTAAAAACACATATAATATATATATGTGTACAAGTGTTTTTATTAGTGTTGTTAGATTACTTAAGTTCAACTTATAAATACAGCGTATAGCCATATTTTTATCCAAAAGTATTAGAATCAATCTTCAAGTTGAAACTCAACCTAGAAGCTTAATTCAATTTTATTTTAGGCTAACAAGCTTGGCTAAGCTACAATAGAAGACGGTCAAGGGTAGGTGACTTGAACAACACTAGTTTTTAATGATGAAATGGAAGAGGGAAAAGGGTGTTTTTTATGTTAGCTATAATGTGATATTTTTACAACTTTTAAGTCATTTTTTTCAGTGCGTTTTTATAAAATATAAAAATATAATTTTACCGAAAATATATTTCCTGCATATTTAGAATACCTATGTTAGGAATTGTAGATAAATTTAGCCGTTAACCTTCGAGTCATTCTATAATTTATGTGAAAAAATCTATGGAAAAAAAAAACTAACGTATATTATATTTAGTTTTAAAATTTCGTGGTAAAAATCTGTTTGAAATTCATGGGGTAAAGTAATTCCAAAAATAATCAAATACATTTTCGGTATACTCAGATTTTTTAAATTTAAAACAATTGAAAAAATAGCACATCGTCGCTAACATATATATATAATTCAATATAAGTTTATATGAAAAAGAGTTCAAAAACGGTTTTTACAGGTTAAACTAGGCCTCTGTTTGGGAATCCTTGATGTAAACCGAGCATTTTTTTTGTTTAAAGAACCGCCAAATTTCTTTTTCGCTTTGTGGCCTCGCAAAGTTTTTGTTTTTTTAAACTCGGTCCTCGGTTTTACCGCTAAATTTTTTTTTTATTACTCTCAAAATTTTGAAAACTATTAGATTTCTTCTTATAAAGAAAACCTATTTCCATTTTTAAAAAGGGGGGTTTATTTTTGGTGTTTTATTAGTTAGACATTATATCGTTGAAAGAAATGGATAAATAAATTATAACTTGTTCACTTGTGAAGTCCGCTATAAATTATTTTTTTCTAAAATTGACCCTTTTTAAAATAAAAAAAATTATGTGACATTATATAAGAGATAGGGGAATAAAAATACATTCCACATATGACTATAATGTACAACTTGTAACAACATATCATAACACGCCCCCACCAAAAAAGGTTTTAAGGTAATTTACGCTCCTAATTTATATAGATTTTAAATTACGAATTATTGGATACGATTATAAATATATTATTTAATAACGTTAGCTTATTTTTATTTTTTTTTAAAAAAGTACAATTTAATGTTAACCTTACATAGATATTTATTGTATTAATTTAAAATTATATCATTTGAAAAAAAAATACAACCAAATCAATACGTAAATGCTTTCAAACTAAAAATATATTTTCTTCCGCAAGATGGCGTTCTTTAACTTATAGAAAAATATATATATTTTGGATTATTTTTTTTTATATCGGAGATCAGTAATGATCGAATGAATGATGATAGAGTCATACAAACCTCCACCTCTCCCCCCCATTAAACTCCTATAAAAAATTTCAATACATGACTCATTTGAAACATTGGAATTAGGAATAGGAATCTCTTTAAATGGAGGGAAATTCCGCTCGTAATGTTCCTGTTAGTGTTGTCAAACGGCTCGCTTTGAACCCATTTTTTAAAGCGATTGACTCAATATTTTAGCCAGAAAATATTGCTTTAAGCCTCGAGATTTCGATAACATATGTCCAGACCCTTTGTGCCATCTATGAAGAAAAATCTTCAGGCATGGGTAATATTTTTTCTGGGTGAAGTATTGAGTTAGGCATCGTTTTTTTTAAAAATCGGCCCAAAACGGGCCGGTTAACAACACTAGGGCCTGATGTTAAAGCCGGAAAGTTCTAAATATGAATTTTTAAAGAAATCATAAATTCGAACTGATGGTTAACTAAGTTATTAATCAAATTATTCTAAGGCAAACGAAAAATCAAATGCAAACTGAAATGTACTGTTAAAGTTAAGCATATGTATTTTAATTTTAACATCCAGTTTTTTTTAAAATACAAAAAATTTATTGTGGAATATATATATATAAGTAAAAGTAAAATGCCTATTTTTGATAATTTATTTTTGATTGGATTATTATATTAGCCTTACGAGCTTTTAAAGTGCGATAGAAAAAATACATTTAAAACAAATAAATGACAATAAAACGCGGTTAAAAAAAAATTCGTTAGTTAAACGAGCTTGCCATTATGAGACCTTCCATTTTAGGTCTCACAACAGCAGACCAACCCAGAATAGTGATTATGATTACTACAGTCAAGATATAACGCTTGTTCTCCTAATGAATAAATCTTATATTCTTAAGTTCCCCCCCCCCCAAATCTAAAAATAAATGGGTTTTTGTGCCGGGTCTGGGTTAGATCCCCGGGTCTGTGCTCAGAACAGTCCCGAGTACACCGATCAAGCAAATTAACAACACTACCTATACAATATAGTTCGCGAATGACGCAACCACGAATTAGAATACGTTTTTCTTTACCCTATTGATATCATAACATCTGATAATATAATATAAACTCTTATTTAAAATAAATTCGATTACCCCCCCCCCTCCCCTCATCTTCTCTCGTAGCCTGATCACGAAATCGACTTTGAGGCGGAAAAATTGACCGTGAAACATAGGTACTTATTGTTGCGGCACGGAGAGAGGTCGGATCAAACGTTCGCGCCCGATTGGTACGATTCGGTCTTCAAATCCGAAACGTGTAAATTTAAAATAAATATATTTTAAACATAAGTACACTTTATACGGTGAAACCTCCGTTATGTGGCCACATAAAATTGGGCGATTATATCTTTTTTGTGGGGTAAAACAGAGATAATTGCCAAATTAAATAAACACCTTAAAGTTTTGAATGGGGCTGAACCTAAAGGAGTCGAGATTATGATGTGGTCACCTTTTAGTGGGTATCGCTGTATTATTTTGAATGTATAAAAGGGCCATTCCTTGACAAATAGCTCCAAAAAATGGCGATTTATCGTATATTTTTTTAAACTTTCAAATAGTTAGTTTAATAAGTTGTAAATTTTTTAAGCCAAATCAAAACTTTGGAGCTTTATCTCGGCCCATACCCTGAGTTAGGAACTTTACCCCTCATTCACAATTAGCGCGAATCACAGCTAACGGTTAACGGTAAATGAGGGGTTAAAACGCGATTCTTGATATAACGAAATCTTTAAGCAAAATTAAATCAAAGAATATTGTTATTAAAAGAAATAAATCGAAAAATAAAATATTAAATCAATATCTTCGGTACAGATTTAATTCCGATAAAATCATTTATATATATATTTTTTAAAAAAAAAAACCTTTTAAGGGCTCGGTAAAAAAAAGTGCCGATAATTTTTTGATTTTTTTGTCGTAGTTGAAAAGTTTTATTTTTTATCTTATATATCTATGTTAGTCGCCAATATGTTTTTTTTCCCGGCAATTTCTTATTTTTTGCAACTTTAAAATCATTTTTTTAGGCGCGTTTTTTTTTTAAATTTAAAAAATCTGATTTTAACCGGAAATATATTTCCATCTGTTTTTAGAATGCCTACTTTATAAGATTATAGACAAATTTTTCCGTTTGACTCATTTTTAAATTTATATATAAATAAAATATATGGAAAAATTAATTTAAGTTATATTAACTTCTAAAGTTTCTTAACAAATTTGTCCTAAATTCATAGGTTAGATATACGTAAATCCCAGTGACATATATAATACCTAGACTGACGATTCATTCATTAAAATGCGTTTTTAAGCGTCGTTAAAAGAAAATCAGCTGGACCTGCCATTTTGATATCATATATAGTAATTATTCTCATGTTTATAAACTACTATTAAATTGATAACTTGCTTCCTTGTTATCTCGATGATCCGGTAATTCTTTAATAAAGTTTGCATAGATATAGGAATAAATTAGGCACGCATTTAAAATTTTAATAATGATTAGTGTAACCAAGATGGCGTCTCCAGTTGATTTGCACTTGATGTACACTTTTAATGAATGAATCATCAGTCTAGGTATTATATATGTCATTGGTAAATCCAGTAAAATCAGATTTTCAAAATTTTCAAAATGGCGCTTAATAAAATATGATTTAAACTTAATTAAAAAAATAACCTATTTGACGTTTAACATCTTATATAAATAAAATTTAAATTTTTTTTTTATAAAAAATAAATGGTATCATAATGGATAACACCTACCCCAACCATATTAAGAGGCGAATCTATTTCTTTAAAGAAATGATTAAATAAAGGGGAACGCTTGCATTGATTACAACCTCCATCTTATTAAATATGTATTAATTCATCAAAAGTTAGTGATTGTTAATCGGCTCGATTTAAACCGGTTTTTTAAAAACCGGGTAACTCAGTGTATTTTAGACAGAAGAAATATTGTCTAAGTCTCTCGAGATTGCGTTAACAGATGTTCAAACCTTTGTGCCACCTATTGAGCAAAGCCTCGAGATTGTAACAGATGTTCAAACCTTTGTGCCACCTATTGAGCAAAGCCTCGAGATTGTAACAGATGTTCAAACCTTTGTGCCACCTATTGAGTAAAGCCTCGAGATTGTAACAGATGTTTAAACCTTTGTGCCACCTATTGGCAAAATCTTAAGGCTCGCAATAATATTTTTTTTCCTTATACAATAATTGGGTTAGCCGTTTTAAAAAAATCGGCTCAAAATGAGCCGCACTCATCGAGAGTAATAATTCTGTAGCTTTAATTTAAATAAAAAATTTTAACATTGGTAAATTTGAGAAATAATAAATGTCAATCATATATGAATGAAATGATTAAAGAGAAAGAAAATAATAAAATTAAGAAAAAAGAAAGAAAGAATGAATGAAAGCAAGTATAAATTATTACGAAACTTTTGTGTATTAAATTTTTGAATGATTAAAAAAAAAAAGAAGTTAGTATATAATTTTTGGTGATTTCGGATGAAGGAACTCTCGCTAGGAGACAGAAAATATGAGTTTAAAAAAAATTTAAGTTTCAAAAAAAAAAAACTCATTGTGCCCGCTCAAGAGCGGATGAATGAAGGATCGCCTTTTTATAATGCCCAAAATTCACGTATTTATTGTTTTAATTCACGTAAAGCCCCCTATTATAGCTATAGAGACTTGAACATGCCGAGGTATTTACCCAAGAGGAAAACTGGACTCAGAGAATTTTTCAAGGATCCCTCTATCACGGAAATAGGGATGTTTGAAGCCTATTTAACTGGTTTAAATTTTTTTTAAAAAAAATAGAAAACTCTAATTTTGCATATATGCATTTAGGTCAATATTTTAAAAAGATCCGCTTCTACGAGACTCTAAATTGGGTGTACTGCTCTCCGTCACTCAGGTGCGTTCAAACTGTGCATTACATTCTTAAAGGTAATATACTTTATTTATATATATGTTAGCGGCAATGTGTTTTTTCCGGCAATGTGTTATTTTTTTCAACTTTAAAACAATATTTTAGCGCGTTTTTTTAAATTTAAAAATCTGATTTTACCGGAAATGAATTCCAGCATGTTTGGAATACCTATCTTATGAATTGTAGAGAATTTTACCTTTAAATTTTGAGTTAATTATAATTTATATGAAAAATTTATGGAAGAAATAATATAAATTATATTAGGTTCAAAAGCTCATGATAAAATTATCTGAATTTCTTAGGGTAGGTATTCCAAGCATGATTGAGTACATTTCCGGTAAAATCAGATTTTTAAATTTAAAAAAACGCGCTTAAAAATTGCTTTAAAGTTGAAAAAAATAACACATTGCCGGAAAAAACACATTGACGCTAACATATATACTATATATATATATATATATTAAAAAAAATGTGTAGTAAAAACTTTGTTTTTTTTTAGCGGGCTAGAATACGGTGAAAGCCTGAATTATTAATTTAGAAAAAAAGGAAGTTGTGGTGGGTAACATTTCAACTTTTGGAAGAAAGAAACAGAAATATATTCACCGGTTATCCGCAGCGCGTCCCCGTTAGATTCGAGCCGATTCCCACCTACCACCCGACCATCATAATCAGAGGCCCGCGGGCCAAGAACCCGAGTTGAAGCGGGCCTGCAGGCCATAAAATGATCTTTTTTGTTTGAGAGATGGAAGTAGGTGGTTATAGCCTCTTCTTGTTAATGGCTCTTTTCAGGTTAACCCATGTTGCCCAGTCCTTTCATTAACTACAATCCATCTAATTTGCAGCTCTCTCTACGGCTTATTGGAGGGGGGATATAATATTAAATGGTATTTTCATAAAAAATTACACTCATAAGGATAAATTTAAGCATTGTTACATTCTTCCCCTACCCATAAATAATTGTTATATTTTAAAAATATTTTGGTAAAAATATCTTTTCATAATTTTATATATCGAAATTGTATAAATGTTGTTTAAACAATCGATAATTATAATTTATCGAAGGACTTAAGACCTTTTTACGCCTTTGCCATTCTTCCACGCTTCATTTTTTTGGCCTAGTGGGATTTTAGCCTCATTAGGCAGCTGTATAAATCTTACACATAACAGCTCGCGCTGTAAGATGTTTAAAATTGTATTTTTTTAAAAAAATTGGGCAAACAAGCGAGAGCTCCTAGAATGGGTGCCTAATGATATACAGTTGCGTCCTCTTACAATATTCAATCATAAAAAAGTTGTAGTGATTATATATCGGATCGGTTATCCGGCAGATATCAACCTCATATCAGATTTGATTGGCTTCTTAGAAAGCTGTTTCTGTAAACACCAAATCTCATTTACTTGTATTATATGCTTACTATTTCCTTCCCCCCCCCCACAAAATCGACAAAATTTTTTTTTATACCCTACCTATTTCTTATCTTCAAACCATTTTTTTAAAACAATAAAAAAAAGGTTTAGGTTTAGACGAAGCGCTCAAGATACGAATAGAACCGGGGCTTTTTGAATGGTATGGATGGCATCGAGAAGTTAAACCCGTGTTTATGAGTCCTCAGAGATTCAAAAATTGCAGCTTCAATATAGACACTACATACGTTACGATGGTTTATTTATTTTAAATCTCTTTGGGGGGGGGGGGGGGGGGGTATTTACTAAGATTTTTTGTTCCCCAGCTCATAATAGTTAGGATTGGATCTTTTTATTATAGTTACATTACATCACAATACTCGTAAAATATCTAGAAATTTCTTCTTCGAATATTTCCAAAGTAACACTTTTTTAACTAAGTTTTAAAATCGGTTTTTTTTTGTTGATATTATTTATTTTTATTAAATTTAATTTATTTTTAAAAAATAATTATTATTAAAGATGCCTGAGGTTCAATACAACCCCAGCGAAACGTTAGAAGAATATTACGCAAGAGGGGAAAAATTCATGAGGCTCCTAGCTAAGAGGCATGATCAACAAGGTATAGATTTAATATTAAGTCCTTGAGATGTTGGAGTTATTATTATAATGTTCTATGTCAATTTTTTTATAATTATAAATTTAGGATTATATTTTAATAGTTGTATATGGAAGTTGGAAGTATAGTATTAAAGAGACATAGAACATTAAAATATTGAAACATCTATTTGTTAAATTAATCCTTTTTAGGGCGCCTAGCCAAGTTTTCAAAACAAAAAGAGAATAGTATTTTTAACAGGGTGTCAAGGTTATCCAATCATTGAGACGAAATTGTTTTATATTCATGTGACATTAAAAAAAAATTATTTTTCAAATAAATCTATTCCAAGAAAATATGTACGAATTTTTACTTTTGAAAGATCTAATATCTAAATTTTTTCTTTTGTTTACCAAACCTTAATTAAAAATTGACAGACAAGTCTTCTCGTGACGTTTTAAACATAATTATTTATTCTTTTATTCGAAAAGAGGGAGATTTCTTGATAATGGGTCACGCGGCTACTTTAGAGGTCAACACTTTTCCCATTTTGACCGCGACCACCAATCCCCAAAAACGCAGCAGAGATTACCAAGAATTTCACGAGATACTTCAAAAAACGCCCTACCTAGCGTGCACTCGCATAGACGAACGTCTCGATGGCTCCTGGGCATGGCCACCTATCCCTCCCAGCTTACCCGTCACTTACCTCAAGAATATGTCTTACGATTGGACCGTTCTGAGTAGCTCGAAATGATTTTTTTGGCGGGATTTTTTTAAATTTCTCCGCAAACTGAATCCATTTTTTAGAAAAACCCTTTTATCTTGTTTTCTTAATTCTAATACCTTTACAATAACAATTGTCCGCCATCTTGGAACGAATTGAGGAGGGTTAATCAATCTCAACATTTTGCCGCATCTAAGACCGTAATAACTGGTCAAATTATAGCAAAGTTTAGGTGTTGGTCTCGTATAATTTTGTGATATTTTATAGAATCTTTTTTTAAAATTTATTCTATCAACTTAAACAAATATTTACATATAAAAATATTATATTTTTTTAATAAAATTAGAATGAAATGTGTTTTGATTTTAAAAAAATTTTCCTATCATTATTATTAAGGCTTATATAATTATAATGATAATATATTTATTGATATTCACTTTTTTTCTCATCTAATAATTTACACAAACTTACCCTATACCAAGCATTCTATACTCATTTCCGGTTTCGAAGTTGAATCCCAATACGTGACGCCATTTATAAATTTATGAGAAAAATTTTTTATTTGAATTTAAATTACATTTTTATCCGCATATAATTTTATTAATCCTATTTATATTCCAAAAACATGAATTCATCTCACAAAAAATTTTTTTAACAGGGTTTTATAAATTAAATTTTTACCATTATTTTGTAATTCATTTACCAATTTCGATTTAATAACATGTTGACTGGGTTTTCTTTATTTGAACGAATTTATATACAATTGCAGATTTTTGTATATGTGATACATTTTTATATAACCGAAATGATATTTATTTATATGGTAGAAAATAAAATCTTATATAAAAAAAACTCGTAGAATAATTATGATCACGTGAGCACACGCTTGCTACACCGGAAGGGATATAAGGATTCTTAGAAAATCTAATCAGTTATAATCTCGTGACATTTTTTTAAAATCAATTAGTATCGTTGGCATCTGTCATTTTTCTTTCCTATGTTTTTTATGCTTCTTGTGCCGACTCTTGTCTTTTTTGTTAATCTTTCGCTTGCTTCTTACAATTTAAAAAAAAAGTTATAATAGTTATGGATAAAGTATTATGCAAGGCTCATCATTTAGGAATTTAATTTGGAATTATGGTGAATTTATTTATTAAACACTAAAAATGTAATGATTATTATCATGAATTGGAATTAACGATAAAATTAATTTTTTTTAATAATCAATCAGCTGTTAAATCGTGTTTTATATGAACTGGAACCCTTTTAAAATCCATGAGTTCTAACAAAAGTAGGATGAAAGTGAGACATTGTATTTAAGAAGCGGTCATTTTAAATTTGAGAAAATGATGAATGAGATATATATACATATATTAATATATAACATATAAAACGTGATTTCAAAAGTTACTATTGTTTTACATTCCAAAAAAAAAATGTAACTGAATCAGGCGTTACTAGTTTCTTATTTTAGAGATCAACACTTATTTTTTTGTCTAAACTTGCGAAACCAATATTTATTATGGTTTTGGACCCCTGATTGCATTCTCGGAAACGTGTTCACGATAATACCTTTTCACATGAATAGTTTAACAGTAAATGACGTATAATGTCATATTTAAAAAATAACCAAAAAAGGATAAAACATAAACCTCAAATTGTAGGGAGGAGATATCTTAAACTCCCAATTACAATTTAATAAAACGCTTATCTTTGTTTAAATTGATTTACGATTTAGAAGTGGCGGCCGATCCAATATCATGACTTGTTTCTGTATCGTCATCAAAAAGGGTCATTTGGTTTCCTATTACATCCTTCAGCATCTTTTTTATTAGAGGGAAATTTTAATTTTATATGATATAAAAAATAAAATAATTATAGTTGTGACGTTTTTCAATATTTTTTTTCGTGAAGATACAATAACACAATAATTAATCTTTGTGTTAAGATTTCGTATCACGTGAGTAGTGTTGTTGCTCATTGCCTTGAGATTCAGTTAGTCGATGTCTAGACCTTTGTGCTATATATGAGCAAAATTTTTATGACTTGGGTTACTATTTTTCAGGGCAAAATATTGAGCTAGCGGTTTTTAAAAATCGGCTCAAAACGAGCCGTTTAACAACAATACACGTGAGTGTATATATTGCAATTATTTTATCTTCGTTTTAGGATTTGTATTAAGATGTATATATGGTTCCCGTTCTAAATCGCTAAAAATTGGGAACATGGCTTATATCTCCTAGAAAATTTTAAAGTAAATTTGAAATTAATATAGATACTTAGGGATTAAATACTTGTATTTAAATTGAAAATTAAAAAAAAATCGCTAAAAGATTTTTGTTTTAGCGATTTAGAACCTATCCCGTATATATGTATATTATTAAGTATTATATGGAAATAAATTTATGGACATGAAAACACTTGATTGAAGTGTATTTCAATTAAAACAGATCATACGAAAATATGGGTTAGGATAATTATATTAAAACGGGACGAAGGGAAAACCTCGTTATAATTTTTGTTATTGATCGGAATATTCCTACGTGAGGCTACTTCTTTGCAAAGTTTCCTGGCATCTCTAGAACATTTTTCTAGTTATTTTAAATAATAAACAAAACAATAATTATTATTTAAAAATTGTAATCTTAAAAACTACAGTTAAAAAAATTTATCTAGAAATATAAAATGTTAAATAATTTTCGATAGCAACTTATGAAATCTAATTATTGATATTTACATGAGTAAATTAGGTAAATAAAATTATCCATAAAAAGTATATATTATAATGAATACCATTTGTTACATCTTCATGCTGCAGACATTTTTTGTCATTAGCTAATTTAATTATCGTATCATGTATAGCCAGTTTTTCAACAGGAAGGAATCGAGAGGAGAATATTTCATTGTTCAATGGTACCATTTTATCTTTATATAAATCTTTTTTTTTACACAAATCTTTAAATAATCATAATAATGTTTAAAAAAGGATATACACTAGTGAGGCTACTATATATTATTTTTTTATATTAGTCAAAATATTTTTTAATATATATATTTAAATTATATATTCATATTAGATAAAATAAATTTTGCATTCAAATTTTTATTTTTTAGATTAAAAAAGCGTTTAATAAAAGTATCTACCTCTAGAATAATATATGTATATAGATAATACTTTTTATAAAGTGAATCTAAATACATATCCAGATGTGACATTTCTGCATCTAGCTACTTTAACAACTCTGTAAATTATAAAATTTAATCTTAAAATTGCATAAAAGTCTTAGGGTAGATATTCTAAATGCTGAAATACATTTCCAGAAAAATCAGACCTTTCATATTTTTTTTATAAAAAATTAGCTAATAAAACCATATTTAATTAAATAACATATTGACAGAAAACACACATTTACACTAACATATATAAGTAATGTTGAGCATGACTAAAATAGGCATCCTTAAAAACTAACCATCCCTAAGTATTTCCTATTATAGAAGAGCAAATTTAATAAAATTAATTATTATTGAATAGTGTTTAAGTTTTTTTTTAAATATTTTTTAAAAAACTTGTAAATTAGTAAAATATAAAGAAACCATTTTCTAAATCTCTTCAAAGAGCTAAATATGATTCTATATTAATTTTATTGTGGAAATCTTAAAATCAAAATAACATTATCTTAAATTTGAACTTCTATATGAAATGCATAGTTTTCAGGGAAGTGTATTTTTGCCATGCCCATAATTTTATTTATAACTTTATTTTAGGCAATAATTTCATATTAATGAATTAATTTATTTGATAGGGTACCTAAAAATATGATAATATTTTTTGTAATTTTATATGAAACAAGAAAAGAAAAATATCTAGTAAGTCACATTCAATTCAGCTATAAACATTAACCATATGAGATAAATAACTTTTGGAGAATAAAAAATATATATTTCACTTATTTTTTTTATGAAAGTTAATTGGTTAATATAAAAATAACCTTGAGCATTGTATTTTTTGGCTGTCTCCTTTAGTATTTCATTTTGTATTTCCTGATCTAAAAACATAGCTAATTAAAAAAATATTTTTAAAATAAAAGTTTACTAATATATATAGTTTGAATATTAATTCTGCCTTGATAAAAAAATGTTGAACTTGGGAGTTCCTTTATAGATTAAAAATAATTTGTATAATTATTAAAATTATACCTTATCTTTTAGTGAATAGCCTAGAGATATTAACTTGCACCTTTCGACATGAGTTTTAAATGAATATTCAGGTATGTAATGATTAAGATTAAATGGACATTGCAAATAATCGGTTTTTGACTGAATAAAATAAGTAAATGTGTTAAAGATGTATATAATAACCTTGATTGTAATGTCTGATCTCCAATTTAGTTCTTCATACACCATATTTAATTTATTTTGTACATTTTTTATGTAGTGGGTAATTTCGTTTGAAAGTTTTGCGACTTTTTTACAACCACTCATTGCATAGATAATGGATTAACATATGATTGTTAACTGACATTTATATTCAGTCAATCATATTTCTGACAAAATATAATTTTTGTTAATTTATTAGGATTACCTAATCTCCACACTTAAGTCCAAAGATGAGGAAATTTATATAAAATATACTCGAAAAAGGCTACAAAAGAAATCTTAGGATTAGGAATAAACGGTTAGTTATTCAAAAATTAATTGTGTCCGTTTTATTACCCCTTAATATATGTATTTGGACTCTAAAAACATATATTGTAGTTGGGGATCATCGAGGCCCAAATAGTATAAAACAAGTCTTTCCATAAATGTTGATAAAAATTGCTTAGAATTATCTGATATATAAAAAATGCATAATATAATAATTTTGAAAATCATTTTAATCGAAAATGGAGCAAATGGCCCAAAAAAGATTAAAATCTTATGTTTAAAGAAATCCTCCCTTAAATTTGAAAATAATTTTATTTTAAATGATTGAAACTGCTATTATTTATTTTTATATATTTAGATATGAATTATACAAAAGCTTTAATAACCAGAAGTACGAATAATAATACGGCATTTTATTTTATCACGCATTGGGTATTCGATTTATACCTATTCATCCATAGGCTAGAGATTTTTTCTATGTAAAATATTTGTCAAAGGTATTTGAGAAAATGCCCCGTTATATATTAATTATATACCACTTTTAAATGGATGCATAAAAATTTTTCATTTTCTAAGTATAAATTTTTTGATTAGTTAGAAGTAGCGTTAAATTATTCCAACTATTTTGGAAGTTTCTAATAAGTTACTTTTCATTTTATTAACTTTCAGCAACAAATTGCACAAATCACTTTTGATAGTTTAATATATTAAACTTGTATTTAAATTTATGATATGTTTTCAGTATAAAAATTGGTATTTATATTACTAAGCCTTCACATTAATATATATAAATAGTATAGTGGCTTAATTTTTACACATTTATATTTAAGGTATACAACTGTTTTTCGTTATTATTATATATTAGTAGATAGCCCGTCATAAATGATACGGAAAGATAATTTTATTCATTCTATTATGATAGATGTTACCTTTTATTTAAAAATCATATCCAATTTTGATACTTTGTAACCTCCATCCATATTCAGGTCAATTTCAACCCATTATGACAAAGAGTGAATACTCTATTTTGAGTCAAAATATATTTAATAGCTTTTACCCTATATCAAAATTTTTTGACAAGATATTACTGATTACCTATATGACGAATGTTTAAAATTAAAAAATCTATGGCTAATATTTAATATTAATCAGAAATTTATTTTAGGCCAATGCCCATATTATATATTATAAAATATCTAAGTATCTAAGACCTTAATAATTTTTAAAATAATTTCCCAAGCCCAGCCCAACCTATAATAATTTTTGAAAATTTTTTCTTAACACTGGTTCAACACTTAATAATTTTAAAAAAATTTTCCAGGCCAGGTTCAAGTCCATATTAATTTTGAGGAATATCCAGCCTAATCCATAATAATTTTTAAAAATTTTTCACACCGGAGATAGTTAAATTTTTAATTAATTTATCAATAAATGAAGGGGAAATCTCCGATTTACCAGTTAGTCTACGGGTTTAAAAAAAACACGTGAATTTGTAATAAGGCAAACTGGGAAAGCCCTGGTGAACCACTTGTCGAATACGTGTATTGTATTAATGATGATTTTAAAAAACAGTTAATTTGAATATAGAATTTGTAAAGATAATTGAAAAATTTTAAAGGTAAAATTGAAAATTTTAAATTGTAAACAAATTAAAGGACAATTTTATAAAATAAATCGAGTTTATGTAAATTTTAATATAATATAATTTTTTAGTTCTATTTTATATTTTTACGTTTGAGTTTATTTATGTTATTATTAAATGATTTTGATTATATTTAATAAATTAAACTGGCATCTTCAATTCGTGTTCATTAAATTTCAATATTCAACACCACTTATTAGAGAACAAAATAAGGTCTGTCCTAATATTTTGATAAGAAATAACAAATGTTTTACCTCGTTTTATTGGAGATAACCTCAAAAATTAAGTTATGGAAAAAAATATGGATTGAAATTCAACTCTACTGCAACAATTCTAACAAAATTGATTTTTTATAATGTTTGCAACATTATCCATGACATAAAAATAAATGATTCTTATACCTTTTTGTACTAATGATAAATTAAAATTATATCTAGAAAATAAATTGTTGTTTATTATATTAGTTTATTGTTGTTTTTCAGATAAATTTAATGTATGTCTTGCCTTTCCGAAATTATTTATGCGAAGAATTTGATAAGGGCTATATCTTTATGTTAATAAAAAAAAATGCTCTCTATTTAAATTACAAAATTGTCATTTAATATTAATGAAACTTATTTGCAATTAATTTATATACTAGCTGATAGCCCGCCAAGAATGACGGGGAAATATAATTTTATCCTTTATTCAATGATGGATGAATAATAAATTTTACCTTTATTTGATAATGGATGAATCTGAAATTTTCCTATCTTATGAGATGTGATTTCAGACATTTATATTTGTTTAGATGAGGGGTTATCTAAACTTTTCCATTATTTTTGATAAAATATGTTAATGAAGTATATATTTAGTAATTTTATTTTATTTGCACAAAAAAATCTTTTAAAAAATTTTTTTATTCATTTGTATTTCTAAAAAAAAATAAATTCTTGCTAGAAGAGTGTTTTGTGGGGCAAAGTTAAATTGAAAATAAGTTATAGCAAGAATCAGGGGCGTCGCTAGCCTTTACAATCTCATGGGGCTCAGCTAAAAAAAAATTATGGGAGGCTTCGCCCACCATGCCCTCCAATTTGCGGGCCTTTGGCCCGCTTTTGCCCAGATTTTATATTAATATATTATACATTTTTAAAATATGGTAACACTAGAGAATATTCTGAATTTCATATTTTGTCATTTATAATATTTTGCTTACAAAATAAACTAGCATATAAATAATTAAAACAATACAAGACATTTCTTAAAAAAATATTTTATAATACAAAATCTATTTATTTCAGTATAAAATATTTACGATTGCTGATATAAAAAAATTATGCGTAAAGAATTACAAGTGATAAAAAGGTTAATTAATTCATACATATGCCTCAATTGATAATGGTTCAAACCACATAAGGCTATATAATTCTCGCAAGTTACATTGACAAAAGGTCATGAAACTAATATAACTCTCTGTTACCATTTTAGACAATGTTTTATAGAATAGACTAATGAGGAAAATTTATAGGCCTAATCAAATCAACAATTCTTGAAGAAGAAAATATAAACTATCAATCCAAATCATAAAACTATATGGTGGCTAGAGCTTCCACTTAGATGACATGATGGAAGCTAGATAAGTAATTGAGAAAATTTTTGTGAGATATTAAATTTCCAAAAGATTATGTTCCATTTTTAATGATATAAAAACGACTAAACAGTTGACCATTATTGTTATCTAAAATATGCAATCATATACTCTCAGCAGCTATAGTAATAATCTTAAATTACATAGTCACACAAATAATATATGCTGGTTAATTTGCAGTCATAGCCATGACACTCACGATGATAACCCATATCCGAATTTAGTATGTTAGATAAATTGATAAATTGATAAATTGATAAAACAAAAACAGTAAAAATCTTTAGAAGAAATTATACAAATATATTGAAATTTTGAGTTATTTACACGGCAAGGATGCCATATTAGAAATGAAACATTTTGTAACTAAAAAATAAGAACCAGAGTGATATGATGAAAGTAATTAAGATTTTATATATTATTGTCGCACCACCTTTAGTTGGTATATTATATTTTAAAATAATAATAGATTGTAATAATATCAAAAATATATTCGTATTAAAAATTTAACTCAAAACTGTTTTTCAAAAAAGAAAAAAATATTTCTAAAAACACGTAAATAAAGAGAAGAAAAGATATCTAATTTATTACATCCACTGTGGGATGAATAATTAATAAGAAATTTAATTTGAATAATATGTTTAATAAATAGATGGCGTTAAATAATTAAATGGATATTGTTACTTATATTTATTATCAACATTTATTATTAAAATTTTAAAATTATTAACTGTAATATATTATATAACTGTTAAATATGTTTGTAAAAGTGGCATTTTACCTAATATTTAATAAATAATTATATATTATAAGGGATCATAAACTATTTATCTACTTACTTTTTATAAATAAATATCTTATACTCATTTGGATTTGTACCTTGAAAATCATTTTAGGAAGAGACATGATAATTAAATTTAAAAATCAAAATGTAGTTGATAAATGATTTTGAACTCGGCTAATTACAATATTAAATTTGTTAATTTTCAATTAATAAATGATTATAGTTATTTAATAAGGTTATATAATAATTTAAATAATAAAGGTCAATTAAGCTTCAACTGTTAATGCTAAATTAATATTTAGTGAGTGATATTGATATATTTCTAACTCAGAATTTGATTGCAAGCTGACAAAGTGAACATATAATTTATATGTATAATCTAATCTAATAATTAAAATAGTATTCTTTTAATAAAAATTTAGATAGTTTTATTAATTTTTAAATTATAGAATTAAATCTCTATATTACTCAATAGAATTGGTAAAAGAACAGGGGGCAATTAAAAAAATTTTTAAGTTCAAGAGGATATTAAGGAGCAATTTAAAAAATAAATTTTGTTTCAGGGGGCTATTCAAATTTTTCAGGGGGCTCGAGCCCCTGCGCGCCCCCTCCTAGCGACGCCACTGGCAAGAATGTAATTTTTGGAATATAAATTACAAATACAAATAGAATAAATTTAGTTTAAAAGATTTTTTTTATTGTGCACATAAATTAAAATTACTAAATATATACTTCATAAACATATTTTTATAAAAAAAATAATGGAAAATTTTTAG